AAGCTTCTGTAAAGCAAAGGATACAGTCTAGTGTTTTTTTAAGAAGTTGTAATATTGAACATTATATGGCTCTTGTTTCTTTTTTCCAGATTATCTCACATAAGAATGGCATTTCATGAAGCAAAGGGGAAAAACCACCCCATTATTCAACAGTTTAAATTCATGAAAATTTTTCTTCTTCCATGAGAGTCACATAAATACTCAGACTGAGTAAGAAAATAGTATGGTTCTTTTATTGAAAATATATTTTTATGTGATATATTGAATAGGTATGGAGAGAGTAGACAGCCCTGTCTTGTTCCTGATTTTAGTAGAATTCCTTTGAGTTTCTCTCCATTAAGATGTTAACTATGAGCTTTCTGTAAATTGACTTTATTATGTTGATGTTATGTCCCTTGAATCCCTAAAGTCTACAGGATTTATATCATGAACGGGTGTTGGAATTTTGTCAAAGGCCTTTTCTGCATCTAATGACAGGGTCATGCATTTTTGTTTTTGTTTTTTGTCTTTCAAGTTATTTATATGGTGGATTACATTGATCAATTTACATATGTTGAACCATTCCTGCATCTCTAGAATAAAGCCTACTTGACCAAGGTAGGCCATCTTTTTTATGTGTTCTTGGATTCAATTTTCAGGATTTTATATGAGAATTTTTACATCTGTGATAATATGGGAAAATGGTCTATTATGTCTTTACAGCTTCCTCCAAGATTGAATAGATTCCTTCTCTGTAGGGAAGTTCTTTAAACAGGAAGGTACACAACTCAAGATAGCTTCAGGAAGTGCCTGAAATTCATCAGACTTACTAGGTCCCCACCAGTAGGAATAAACATAAAAGTTGTGAGTCCATTTTATAGGGAAGGAAGCCTAACTTCAAAGAATGCTCCCAGAGAAGAAAAGCCACAAAGGAGACCCTGAGACCAAAACAGCTGCCTCGAAGAAGCAGGAACCAGTCGAGCTGCCTAGAAGGGTTCACACTCCTGAGGTACCTGGAAAGACACTCTCTATCCTGTTGAGCTGCCTGCAGGCTGTGCAGTGTGCTCCAGGTAACCCCTGTTTTGTCAGCTGTCACCCTTGCTGGTGTAGATGTTGAAAATTCAGCTGCCTTTGACTCAGTTATGTTCTGGTAAGCTGGAGAGATTGCTCAGCAGTTAAGAGCACTGCCTGCTCTTCCAAAGGTTCTGAATCAATTCCCAGCAACCACACAGTAGCTCAGAACCATCTTTAATGAGATCTGGTGCCCTCTTGAGTCGTCCTCATCAACAGTGACCATGAAACCCAATATGGACAAGTTCAACAAAACCGCCATATACAGGCTGCCCATGCATGCTTCAGCATTGCCAGGGCATAAATTTCAATTTCAAATGTAACCTCTTTCCCATATACCTGTAAGTACCCCCTCCCCTAAAAAACTCATTGGCTCATCAAATTGGGCTTCAGCAATATCCTTTGTTCTGTTGTAGGACCCCTACCTGTGGTAAATAGATGTGTATTTTGTCTTTCTACAAAAAGTTTTTGTCTCACAAAAGTATGTAATTCTCTTTCTTTGCTGGTTCTTCATGTAGTCTGGGTGTAAGGGTTAACTGTGACCTCATAAAATGAGTTTGGCAATGATCTGTTTATGTGTTATGGAATAATTCGAGGAGAACTGGCATTAACTCTTCTTTGAACAGAATTCTATGGACCTTTTTGGTTGGGAGACTTTTAATGACTATTTCTAATTCATTAGAGGTTACAGGTCTGTTTAAATTGCTCACGTGATTGTGATTTAACTTTGGTTAGTGGTATGTACAAGAAAATTATCTACCTCTTTTAGATTTTCCAAATTAGTCCACTTTGGTGGACTACGGGGTTTGGTTCTCTAGATTTCCTCTGTGTGTACAGTTGATGAGCCCTTTTCACTTCTGACTTGGTTCATTTGGATTTCAAACTTTTTAATAAAACAGCATTAGGCTATGGTGCCTTTTAAGATTTTCCCCTGTTCCAGCTGTGCTATTTCTAAAAAGCTCTGCACAGAGGTCTCAAGCAAGCTGACAAGACCATTACATTACTTCCCTGTGATCAACTATGGAAAAATGGGGTCGACCAAGTTGTTCTTAGAAATATAAGAAAAGATTACAATTTAGCTTTGGAAACTGAACTGTTGATAAATAAAGCTTTAATTTTCCATTTTCCAATGGAAAGATTGTCAGAAATTAATTGTTATTATTCGCCATAATTTTTTAAAGAAAGGTATTTTGGGGTTCTCCAAGTTTTGTGTTTGTGAGGGTTTTTTCTCCCTCTTTGAGTTAGAACAAAAGAATGCAGTCCTGATTATATCCCAGTTATATCTCACAGCTTTTCTTGCTGAGTTCAGATTTTACTGAGCTACTAAGAAGAGCCAGCATGTTTACCAAAGCCCTTGACCACCAAAGAGGAGAGGCCGACTAGAGAAGAGGTGTCACTCCTGAAATCAGTCACCCTGTGCAGTATGAGACGTATCCTTCTAGGTGTGGCAACGAGTTGTTAAGTGATTTTCTAACTGTATATTAGGCACATTTAAGATATCAATGCTACTATAAACCAGTGGAATTAGAATATTTGGAGAGGGTCATGGGGTATTGACATGCAGTAAAGACTGATGGGTAATTTTTATGTACAGTAAGATATAGACAGTTGCATTAGAATGTGTACTACAAATTACAGCGTCTGGCAAATATATGTATATTTCAAAATATCTTACATGGGATTTAAAAGTCTGCCAGGAATGTTCAGTTTGTGGCATATGGTCAGGAATAGCTGTAAATGTTGCCCAACACAATCTTATAAAATTACTTAAAACATTATGAATTTTTTTCCTTAAAACATTGTGATATCATGTCACAAAAATCAAAAGGTTGGGCATGTCAAGCAGAACAAATATAAAGATATATTTCTAAGAAAACTTCTTACAGCTTAACACAAGTTACAAAATGATATCCTAAAATATACTGGGCCAAAAAAAAGTCACAATTTCAAAGCAGTTTAAGCATACAGTAATGGGAGATTAAAATCTAAAGCATAATGAATACTTATGGTATGGGGCTTGAAGGAGCTCCCTCTGGTAAATCTGTGGTGAGCTGATATAAACACAATGCATGGAATGGAAGGAGAAGTGTACGTGAAGACAGTGGGAGAGCACTGTCTTACAGAAGAAGGCTGACTACTGGACACTGGAGAAATTATACAGTGATAACAGCAGCATTGATTGATGCCAGGTCATAAGCAAAAGGCTGCTGAATAACAGATTCTTCATATACTTTCACAGTAGGGCCCCACAAACTACTTATTACAAAATAATGTTCTGTTACTGGCCAGACTCATAGGATGCCCTCCCTAAATATTATTTCCTCAGAAAATGCTTTAGGAGTTCAAATTTTAAAGTACTGTACATATAATCAATGAGTTAAATCTTCTAATAAAAAAGTTATTTAAATTGTTTTGTGGATGTATGTTAAGATCTACTTTGTTAATATAGGTATCAAGAGTTGAAACTGAAGAAAAACATTTAATTGAGCAAATAAGTTTATCTAAAGTACTTCTGATAATTTATCCAAAGACTGAATTACAAAAGTCCACCATCTTCATCATTGGCATTCAAGTTCATTCACCTTTATCCCCAAAATACCAAAGAATTCTCAAGTTGCAAATATAGACTTATCAAAAACAGGGAGATACAGGAAGCTACATGTACCTCTCAGCCAACATACATAGGATTGTCAGATGTTCACCCAAATTTCACCCTTTACCCAGTGTTCCACAGCGATGATACAGATATGAAGTTCAGAACCTCAGTGTTTCAGAGGCTCTAGATGATACCGTCAAGCCCCTCATCTTACAGAATGGTTAACACAGGAGTGGAGAAGTGAACTGTTGTAGACAGAGTTACTGGAAACGCTGGACTTCAAACAGTTTTCAGCATTTCAACACTCGCTATTTTAAGCCTGCCACTTACAATAGTGAGATTAACAAGTCAGTCCACAAGACAGCTATTTATCCCACAGTGTAGCCGAAGCATTTAGCAATGAAGAGGCAGCGGGGGTGAGGGAGAAGGTGGGGAACATGGACAATGGAACTGCAGCAGTCACTACAAAAGTGACCTAAAAGTTACTAAGCTGAAAAGAAGGTTTAAAAACTAATGAATTTGGGCTCTATGAACTAAAAGGTGGGGAGAGTCCATCGGTGTTCCTCTGAGTCTATAGGGAGTTTACTTGCAGGCTTTTTAGAGGATGTCACCCTGGTTCCTAATTACACCTAATGTCACCCAGCAACCCAAGGCTTTCCTTTCTTGGGGCAGGCACAGATCATCAGGACGATTCAAAATGAGGCGCAGCTGATCCATCTGGTGCCTTTTTCTTAATGGCTAGCTCTCTTTAAAGAGTTGGCCATCTAGCCCAAGAATGAGATGAGGAAACCAGTCTATATTAAAGATAACAGCACTCAAGGGCTTTACACAAACCTATCACTTCCTCTCACCTTATTTCCTAACATCTGAGAGTTTAAAAGGTACTTTCTTCACTATCAAATCCAAATGACGGGACCTGCAGATCCAGAACCACCAATGGCATGCATGGCTCCTCGCCTTTACCTGTCTGGTGTGAGCTTAGGTCACCGGCCCCTTCCCTGTCTTTTTCATTCTCTTCCTCTAAGAAGACTTGAGGCTGAAACAGGAGAACTGATCCTCTTATGTTTACACATATCTCTCTTACACTAAAATGGGCAGAAAGTGAGTTCGCAGAGGTGTAAGAACTGTCCCAGTGTTAATGTTAACTCAGTGACGCTACCGGTACGCTACTTTAAAGCTCCACTGAGGAAATAAAATTTTCATCCTACTAGATACACTTCTTAAAAGTCATATAGGAATGAGAGAGAAAATGTCATACTCACCTTAAACTTGAAAGCACATTCTTCTCTGCAGTTACAAACTATTAAAGTTCCTTACTTTCCTCAAGTACTAATCAAACAGGCACTGTACATACCCTGAGTGGCGGTTGGAGGTAGCTTGAGTGTATTATCTAACTTCTCCCAAAGGTAAGTGGGCCGAGGGATGCCTTCCTCGGAACTACACAGAAGGATGACGTCGCTGCCGATGTCCTGGGATCCTTGGATTTGGCAGTGTGGAGCAGAAGGGGGGACTGTCAAGGGAAGAATGGGTAACACAAGTTCACTTTTACTGTGGGCAATGAGACAGGAATGCCGATCACTGGGAAGCCACAGGCAACAACTGTGAATCACTGAGGGAGACGTCCTCATGGCCAACACGAGGGGACAATCAAGCATCAACTACCAGGATGTAGAGGTGGGCACAAGGCCTGCATGTGAGAGGAAAAGGAGCCATGGCTTTCGGTTACATTTTAAGGTATCTTAGAGCTTTGGTTTGAATGCTCCCTCTAAAGGATTCTTAAGAGCCTCAGGTCACACTGCCTTTAAAGACATTGCTGAGAAGACACATTCAAACCCATTTCCAGAGCAGAAACTGACTCCCCCCCCCCATCTGTCTGCTAACAAAGCCTGCTTTAGTCGGGTCTTCCGTCATTTTACAAAGACTAGACGGGCCAGCTTTGTAGTGGATTCAGCTTTACGGTTCTTCGGCTTCCGGTGAAACTCAAGTTAGAGAACACTAACAATAAGGCAGGGGACGTTTCAAAATCCAAAACTATACTCATCAATGACTGACAAGGACACTGGCAACCAGGATACAAAATCACCAAAGCAACACAAAAGGGGGGAAGTGATGGCTCCCACTGGCACAAAAGAGTGAACATATGAACAAAACCCACGGCGTGGAGTTCTAGATTGGTGGACACCTCTGAGTTTATGTACAGGTGATGATGTTCTTAATCCTAATGCCTGCTCAGTAAGTGAGTTCACCCCTTCAGAGACACACAAACCAGAAGCGCAGAATAAGGTAAGAGGGATAGACAGAGCAATCAGAAAGCCAAGGAGTGGAAGAGAGACTAAGTAAGCCGAGGGTGGAGGGGTCTGGGAAGGTAGCTCACGGCAGAATGCTTGCCTGGCATGAATAGGGTCAGAACTCCCACAAAGGCAAGGGGAGGGATGTGGTATCTGAATGTGTGCTGTGCTGGGTGAGCCAGCCTCCTGGACACCTTCAACATTACCACCGTGCTATTGTGAAGCAAAACTTAAAGTAATTATTTTAAGGTGTCATTCACTATAAAATAAAGGATTTTGTTCCACCTTAAGAATTCTTTTAAGATAGATACTGCAGGAAGCGAGTTGCTCAACTATCACGTAAACATTAAAATGGCATCTATTTCCTTTAGGAGTCATTATTGTACTCAGAGTCCTTAGAGCTCTATATGGCTTTAATATAATGAATGTTATCTTCAGAAAATATGTCTGCAACCTGGTCCTTAGCTTTCGGAACTGTTAGAAGGCTGGGAGAACAGGGCACCAAGGATTAAAGTATCTTCTCCTCCATTGAGAAAAACATCAGTATCCTGAATAGCTTAGCAGTGGGAAAGGAGAAAAGTGCTGAGGAGGGGATCGGACAGGACTAGGGAGATAGATACTGGGAGGTGAGTGGGGGGAGGAAGGGCCTTCCTGAGTACTTCCTCTTCTGCCCAAATGAGGAATTCATCCCTCCTTCTACGATAATCTACCTGGAAGCCAATTCTACAAGTAACCCGTCTGATAGCCATGAGGCCTGAGATATCAAACAGCTGCAGGGAATATACTTTGATACTACAGAACCACATTATACGATATGAAGAGTGCTGGCTTGAATGAGCCCCTCTAGTTTTAATCTAAACTTGGTTCATTTGTTATCTTAAAGGATCAGGCCCTAAATCAGCTTGATCTCATTTCTAAGGTGATGATCTGATGTATGTTACAAACAAAAATGTCTTGCATAAGGAGGCAGAGTTAAAACTATGCCAAGTCTACAAGCAAGATGGGCACTGTGGTGACCCCATTTCCTGCGAGGATAACTATTATCCTTACACACTGACACCTTCACTTTTTGCTCACAGCAAATTATTCATGATTGAGTTTTACCACAGCAGAAAGCTCCTGCCCTCCAGGACCTTAAAATTGGCTTTTATCTCACCCTTCATCCACTGTCAGAAACAGCATTAGGTAAAAGAAGCAGAGAGAAGGCAGGCGGGCGGGGGCGTAGGGGGGGAATCAGATCATAGGGAGGGAGCAGAGAAAAAATGTGAAGTACAGAAGTAAACATGATTTCAAGTAGATTTGTGATAAGTGAAGCCTAAAGTAGTGGGTCTTGTCTGTCACTCACCTAACACTGTGAGGCCAGCGACCCCAATGTTCCTGCCCCCTCTGTCTGGAAGGTTGTTCACCAAGCACTGGTAGGTGCCTGTATCTGAGAGTTGGGTGTTATTGATGAAGATGGAGACATTGGTAGCAGGCATGGTGCCTGTAAATCCTACCCTCCCATGGAACCTGGGGGCGCCGTCAAACATCTGTCCACCCTGATAGAGAATGACCTGCCAAAGGAAGCAATATGTCAGTAAACCGGCCATGGCAGCCCCTCCTCGGCACATAACCTGGTAGACAGAACCAAACGTCCCTGCAACCAAGAGTGGAGGTTCTAATTTCTCAGGGTTGTCAGCAACTTTTTGTAACCGCCCCATCTATGAGTATCTTAGGAATCTAAATTCTCATGCGCATAATTGGAGTAACTATTTCCCTTCCTTAATTTATCAGAACATAAAAAAAAAATCTTGAATGCTACTATCAGCACATAAATATTTCTACCAGTGCAAAGGTTAATGGTGAGATGAAACCCAAAAGGTATTTGCACTGCTGTTCTCATACTAATTCAGCCACAGAATTCTGATCCCTCACAGGCTGAATATCAACATCATAAAAGGAAGGGAACATTGCAAGTCCATGACTACCGTGCCTGCCAACTCTCCGAGCCAACCGTTATCAGATCTAACTATTCCTGGGAGAAACACGGCATACAGCACAGCGGAACACTCCGTGCCCTGAGAATGAGGAGGGCCTTTCAGGATCTTCCTGTGCAAGTGTGGGAAACCTTCATTGGTTCTTTTTTAAACATGTTTAACTCCATCACCGATGACTAAAATGATGTGATTTAATAAAATGATCCCTCAAATTTAGTCTACTGCAAACATTTCTTGGTTTGAAGATGCACTGCATCCCTGTGTGCAATTTTCAAATAAGAAATTCAAAATTAATTAATTTTAAAGAAGTTCCTATTGAATTTTGTACCAGGAATTTTACTTCACTATATTGGCTAAGCTGTAAGAAAAAAATCAGAAGAGCTTCAGAAAATGAATGTTATCTTTGTAAATAAAACTGTGGTGACTAACACAGTTAATTAATTTATAGTGGGTATATGAGATTATTAATTTATTACCTAGAGCTGATAGATATTTCTGAGGGCAGCTTCCATTTTCACATGTGTCTTTCCATGTGGCATACTCTCATTTGTATGAGAATCTGAGATAGCTGGTAAGGTTAGGATGCATGTTGGCTGGTCAACCTACTGTGTTAGGATGCATTTTGACTGGTAAGCCTACCATGCTGAGATACATGCTGGCTGGCAAGCCTACTGTGTTAGGGTACATAAGTAACTCAGCAAAGCAAACTCCTGCCTACAGCTTCTTACTACCCTCTCTCTCTTTAGAGAACATTCTAAGTCACTTCTCAACACGCCAAAGTCTTGCACAAACCCTCAGAAGACTTTAGCATCTGCACATGAGACGATGATGACACCCCTGTAAAAGGAAGACAGCCTTCAGAATATTAACTAATCTTGCAATGGGGAGGGCACATTGACCATGTTCTTACTCTAGAAATCAAACATTCCCATGATGCTTCCCTCACCCTCTCTTAAAGATCCACAGTTTTGGGGGGGGGGGCAGAGGTACCTGTTCAGGCTGGTTTGCATTTGAGAGAGGAATGACCATCCAGATGACATTGAGGTTAATGAGAGCAGCACTGGTGGAGAAGGCACACGGCAGGACTGCAGTCTGGCCCCGGGCCACCTGGATACTGCCAGGGCTCTCGGACACTTCCAGGGACACTGTGACACCTGCAGAGAAAGGAACAATTTGGTCCTGTGCGCGTCCTTTCCTAACAGCTGGGAGTACCACGGCATCACATCACACACAGTCTGGAGCTGTGAACACACTGAGGGAATGCTCTAACCAGAGGATGACTCACCGCTCATGGAGCCAAAATAAGAAAGGATTCACTCCTTTACATCTGAGAAGATAATTTTAAAGTCAGATACACCATGCCATGGCAGTCTGAACAGAAACTGATAAATCCTGAAAAGGCCATGAACTGGGTCTTGAAAGCACCATCACAGTAGCATGACACCTGCCACACCATAAAACCTAGTGCTCGTCTTCAAATCTTCCAAAGCATGTGCCTGTCTTTACGCTCACAACCGCATATGGAGCATTAATGAAAGAAGTGGAAAGATATACAGTGTTCATGAGATGGGACATTCAATATCAATAAGAGGTCAACTAATCTTCCCAATGATAAAATTCAGAGCAAATCCAATTAAAACTCCACCAGGCTTTCTAAGCACACGGCACTGAACTAATTTCAACACACATGAAAAAGGAAGACTCACAAAGAGTTAAAAGAAATAAAAGAACAGAATAAAAAAATAACGGTAAAAGGCTCAAGATCTGGCTCAGCAATTAAGAGCACTGGCTGCTTCTGCAGAGGACTCAGGTTTGATTCCCAGCACCACATGTTGCTCACAACCTCTGTTAACTCCAGTTCTGCAGGCACTGCACACACAAATTACAAATACATACATGTAGGCAATACACTCATACACATAAAACATTAATTTTTAAATGAGGTTTATACTATCTGATTTCAAATTTTTCTACAGAGCTCTAACAACCAAGACAGTTCAGTGTTAGTGTGAGGAGTGACATACAGACAAATCACACAGGATTGAGGGCACCTGGTGTTCATGGCTAGACACTTTCCAACAAGGAACAAACAAAAGGAGAAAAAAAAAACAGGATTTCCTCTCTACCAAATGGTGTGGGAACAATATGGCAATACTACGGTAACTCAAAAAGAGAAAAATAGAATTTGAACCCATACCGCACACACAATATGCAAATACTGATTCCAATCTTCTAAGCTTAAACAGAAAAAGCTAAACTTATCGTCTATCTACAAATAAACATAAAGAAAATTTAAAGTTACTTTCCTCTAATCAGAGAGATTTTTTTTCTTTGAGACAGGGTTTCCCTGTAGCTTAGGAACCTGTCCTGGAACTAGCTCTTGTAGACCAGGCTGGCCTCAGACTCACAGAGACCCACCTGCCTCTGCCTCTCAAGGGCTGGTATTAAAGGCGTGCGCCACCACCACCTGGCTATCAGATATCTTAGATGGCTCCGTGGTTAAAAGCACACATACTGCTCTTGTGGAAGACCTGGGTTGGGTTCTTGGTACTCGTGTGTGAAGGAGTTGGTCATGATGCCTGTGACTCCTGAGCAACATCCAACACCTTCTTCTGCTCTCTTTTGGCCCCGTGCTCACATGTGCACACACACACACACTCACACACACAACCTTCTCTCTTCTGGTCCCTGTGCTCACATGTGCGCACACACACGCACACACACACATACACATATACACACCTTCTTCTGCTCTCTTCTGGCCCCTGTGCTCACATGTGCACAGAGAGAGCGAGAGAGAGAGAGAGAGAGAGAGAGAGAGAGAGAGAGAGACAGACAGACAGACAGACAGACAGAGAGAGAGATTACAATAATTAACTCTAAAAATATTAAAAATCTTTATTGCTATCAACAATTTAAGAAAATTTCAATATATAGCCTGATAGAAATAATATAAATCATATATTTTATAAAGGGTTTATAGCTAAAATATATGAAGACCTATGACAATTCAATTTACAAGATAAAAATAATCTATTTTTTTTCTTTCTTGCTTTTTTTGGGGGGGGGTTTGTGACAGGGTTTCTCTGTAGCTTTGGGTCCTGTCCTGGAACTAGCTCTTGTAGACCAGGCAGGCCTCAGACTCACAGAGATCTGCCTGCCTCTGCCTCCCGAGTGCTGGGATTAAAGGCGTGCGCCACCGCCACTCAGTTTAAGATAATCTAATTTTAAAGGGATATATACATCTGTGGTAGTTTGAATAAGAATGGCCCTGACATGTTCAAGTCTCCAGAGAGTGGCACTATTTAGGAAGGATCAGGAAGTATGGCTTGTTTGAGCAGGTATGACTTTGTTAAAAATCTGTCCCTGGGGGTGGGCTCTGAGGTCTCAAAGGCCCATACCAGACCCAGTCTCTCTCCTCTCTGCCCCTGAAGCCCGTCTCTCTGCTTGCGGATCAGAATGTAGCACTCAGCTGCTGTCCCACATCATGCTAGCCCCCCTTCCCTGTCAGAAGGACAGTGGACTGACCCTCTTAAACTTGAAGTGAGCACTTAATTAAATGTTTTCTTTTTAAAGAGTTCTGTGCTCACCATGTCTCTTCGGAGCAACAGAACACTGATAGGACAGTATCTAAATCACAATAATAGTGCACATCTACTGGAGCAGCTACCATCAAAACCACAGGAGGTGCAGTGAGACTTAGAGAACAGAGAGGCTCGTGTATTGCTAGTAAGAACATAAAATAGCACAGGATCCTTGGAAGATAGTTTATTTCTTAAAAGTCATACTTAAACATATTATAGCAACCTATCTTAGATCTCTACTCCAAGAAAAATGGAAATGTAATAAAGTCACAGAACTTACGAAATGAATATGTGTGTGTGGACACACACACGTGCGCACACACACACACACACCATATACAATGGGATGCTGCTTAGAAATACAGGCATCAAACTGCCAATACCTGCAAAACCAATCTAGAAGTAAAAGGCTGCAGGCACATTATTCCATACGCTAGAAATGTGTGGAAAAGGCAACTCTATACAGACCTGAAGCAGCCTGCAGGCTGTGTAGGCCTGGAGGGGACAAGCTGAGGACAGTATAGGCAAGCTCAAGAGGGCTTTTTGGGTTTTATAGATGGTTGTCATAGGTGTACAACTCTATACATCCAGTAGAAATCAATACATGTTGGATTTTAAATGAGTGAATTCATAGGATGGAAATTATACTTCTATAAAACTATAAAAATTAAGATACAGAAGCAGGGACTCATCAAAACCGACTCACCAGCGTTAAAACAACTGTTCTCTTTTTGACCAGCCCTACCCCTTGCATGGTAGAACAGTGTGGAAATAAGAGCAGATTAAAGAGGTCACAGAGACCCTCAAAACAGCTCTTCTAAGTCATGTAGAGTACATCTGGTCCATGATGGCATCCTGTTTTATTTGGCAATGACATTACCTTACTCCCCTCCCCCAAAAGCAACACAATGAGATCTTGCTATAATTTCAATTTTTTTTAAACCATGGATAACACCTTCCCTGTACAGAACTGCATGCTCTTCACATGATGTTCTAGGGAGTTACCTTTTCAGTATAAAATGTTTCATAAGATAAGCCATCTGCAGCCGAATGTAAAGTACCACATAACAGCATGGAAAATGTCTAAGTTAAATAAGCATAGGAGAAGTTCTTCAGTTTTGGAAAGCTCAAAGAACCTCAGGGGTTAGATAAGGAAAAGGAGAGTTTTGAAACAAGCTAAGGGGAGTAAATATAATAGTAGCCTCATAGAACAGGTATAGGCCATTAAAATAATGTACATCACAAAGACCTGATAACATAATGCCACAAGAGACTGTCAAGGTTAAGTGTTAAGGGTGGCCATGGTGGTATGTGGCAGTAGTTTCGCATCTGCTGCCAGCATGCAAGTAATGATACACAGACTTATTAATCATGAAAGCTCAGTCTATAGCTTAGGTTCGTGCCAAACTAGTTGTTAGAACTTAATCCATTTCTACTAATCTTCAAACTGCCATGTACTACCCAGCCTGCTTCTTCCATTTCTCCTGGCGTCTCTCGCACACCTAGATTCATCTTCGGAAGTCCCACGAATGCCTCCTGCCTAGCTATTGGCCATTCAGCTCTTTATTAAGTCAATCACAACAATGCATCCTCACAGTGTGCAAATATCCCACAACAGTGGTGTACGGCCCTACAGGCAGGAGGAGCTCAAGTCTGAGGCCAGCCTGACCTGCAGTGATACCCTGCCTGGAAAGAAAGAAAGAGAGGGGATGGGACGGACAGGGAGAGGGGGAGCTGAGCACTATGACAGAGGCACGTGCTCCCCGAGTGGGAAGACTAGAGCAGGAGGACTGTGAAATCAGGACAGCCTGGGCTACACGGCAAGGCCATGCCTCACAAAACAAAACACAAAAAGCAGCCACAAAAGCTCCACCATCACATTCTTCAGACTGCTCCTATGCAGGGGAGAAAGCACATAGCCCTGTTAATCTATACAAGGCAATGTTTATCATCCATCCGCAAACATACTAATTTCATGATAAACTCACATAATTTACACACACACACATCAGTATAAACAAACTGAAATCAAAAGCTAAAAATGGTGGAAATTGCTCAAACAGGTAATGCAGAGGAGGGCAGGGGTGGGGTAGGGATGGGACAGGGATGCAGCAGGAATAGGGACAGGGATAGGGTCAGGAACGTGGACCCTGCCAGCAAGAGAAAGCCTCTGTGGCACTCACTGTATTTATTTTACATCCTCATGTGATCTGATTCTTGAATCTCACCCTTTGGCACAGCTGCAGAAGGAACATTCTAGACCAGTGGCTTCTAGAGCTTGCAAAGGGGCAGGTGAATCTGTGTGGGTCTGACTGGAAATCTGGCTCTTGCTTCCAATGAGCTGTGGAGCACAAGCTAGTCACTTAATCCCTGTAAAAGCGGTGCTCCACCTACACAAGGGTTTGTGCTCCCACCCTTTCACCACAGGAGGACCATCAGAGACGACAGTGACCACAATGACTGTTCTTGCTGGGTAAGCAATGGGGCACACTGACCATCCAAGCCTACAGTCTCTATATAAATACACTCGTTTAATTCTATAAGGAATTAAGCAGGAATCCACACAGCTG